GGGCACGCCCGCGGCGCTGTCGCCAGTGTGAGGTTATGGCAGCCTCTGCAGCAGGGGTGCAGCGACCAAGTCGGAGGGCCGGTGTGAGGCCCCGGGCCTGACTGAGGCGTGGCTCCTTCAGAGATGACGTGGGTGGCCCCAGATCGCTCCTTCCTGCTGTCTCTGCGCAGCACCCCCTTGTCCCCGGAACAGAGTAATGAGCTGGGGACTCCAGACGGAACGACAGGAAGAGCTGGTGTGACGCACACCTGCTTCCCTTTCTCTCTGCCCGCACATAGCTATGTATATTTTTTTATTCTTTTTTTCCCAGTGGATTTAGATATAACCACAGATATAAACAGGTATTTTATTTTTCCTGTGATAAGGAAGTGCATGTGCTTCCTGGAGAGAGAGAGCCCCCTCTGGGGTGTGGTGAACATACAGCCCTTCCCCAGTCTTGTTAGGATTTCGCGGCTGAGATTCAAACCGTGACAGGCTGTGTGGGACCAGCTCCCGTGCACGGTTGTAACTGCTTCACTCGGGGACTGACCCCATTTTATTTGAGCACCTTACTTAATTAATCTCCGTTTTCTCGGACATAGTCTATAATATTGTAACTACCTTGAATTTTTATTATCCTTTATTTGCACGTATCTCTCACAAGTGTCTACATGCATACATTTACTTATTTAAATTTGTTATGGAAAACTTGAAGCCTGTAAAGAGATCAGTCCAGTGAGCCCCGCTCACCCACCATGCAGGGTTAGTTGACATTGGCTCGGGGCTCTCCTTGCTTCCTCTGTACCCTGGCCACCCCGCAGCTCCCACCACACTGCCCAGAGCAGATCCCCGATGGTATGTCATGGCAGCTGCAGATATTTCCATGTCAAATGCTGCATGATACTGGCTTTTATAAAAGCACAACTAACTGCAATATAATTTTCATAACTAGAAAAAGGAACAGTAATTTCTTAATACCACCAGGTAGTCACCAAATAGCCATTGTTTAAGTTTATCTGTCTCATAATGTTGTTTTATTTTATTATTATTATTATTATTATTTACAGGTAGTTTGACTCAGTAAACAAGGAATGACCAATAGAACTGGTCAGCTTTTATTTATTTATTTATTTATTTATTTAGCAAAGCAGTCTGCTTTATGTTTAAGGAATTGCAGGCCTGGTGGCGTTCATAGTCTAAAGGAAAGCAAAGGGTGAGTTTGCAGCTCGACGCGTTCAGGCGTGCGTGGTCAGACTGCGCAGGAGAGGTGTGAGAAAGCATGTAGGAGACTGCAGGAGGGGAGTGGAGAGTATGAGGTCACGGTGCGGAAGGGGCAGGGACAGAGACAGAGGGGTGTCCTCGAGTCGGGCAGTGCCGGAGGACACTCCCAAGTGCCGCGTGCTTGGCCCGCCATGAGTCCGACCGCCGCGCTAGTACTTTCGTAGCCACGGGTTTCCTACTCAGTCTTGCAGCTTTGGAACTGAGCTCTGACTTCAGAACACATAATGGGAAGACAGGATGTGCGCAGAGAGACTCACGTGGGTCTCTGTGAACCATGTGTTCTGCGCACAGGGCACGCTCGCAGCGCTGTCTCCAGTGTGAGGTTATGGCAGGCCCCGCCGTGCAGCGACCAAGTCGGAGGGCCGGTGTGAGGCCCCGGGCCTGACTGAGGCGTGGCTCCTTCAGAGATGACGTGGGTGGCCCCAGATCGCTCCTTCCTGCTGTCTCTGCGCAGCACCCCCTTGTCCCCGGAACAGAGTAATGAGCTGGGGACTCCAGACGGAACGACAGGAAGAGCTGGTGTGACGCACACCTGCTTCCCTTTCTCTCTGCCCGCACACACCCGCCTCCTGGGGGCCATCACGGTCCAGTCACCTGGACCCTGGTTACCCGTGCTGCCTGGTGCCTCTGCCTTGGTGCTGTAGGCTGCGGGCCCAAAGCGAGTCTGCTCGCCATCCCGGTCTTGGAACCTGCCCAGATTCGTGTTGGGTGGATCCAGTGCTCGTGGTAATCAGGAAAAATAAGACCGTGTGTTGGTACCGAGGATAGTCCTTACCGTACAGAGCAGACCGGCAGCTGGAGAGGTCGCCAGCTCCGCATTACCTCACTCACCAGGTCCTGGTTTCCTAAAGCTTAAACAAACGGAGTGGGATTTCCAGGGCGGTTGGAAAATCTTTGAATTTAAAGCAGTCGTGTTAGAAGGGAATGTAGGCTGTCATCAGGGCACGGAGGGGATTGGTAGCAATCAGTACTGCAAAGAGTGTGGTTTCTCAGCTCAGCTATTTGACTCTCACTGTTCAGTGCTGGGAAAACTCTGTCCCAGAAAGTGCTTTCCATGACTCTGGGGCCCCAGGGACCCGGGAACAGTGGAAGCCGGTGTGACGTACACCTGCTCCCCTCTGATGAAGTGTGTACTACTTGCCGGATCCAGCGACAGCAGTGCAGTCACCGCTTCCTAATTAAGGAGAGTGAAAGCTAGCACCAGCAGGCTGCAGGAAAAGCACTCACGGTCCGGTCCTGGAATCCGCTTCCTGTACAGGGAGTTGGGTTAATAAGACCGAGCTGCTGGGGCGGACGGGGATCACCGGGACAGGCCGTGTGATTGGCATGTAGCTCTAGGGTGACACAGAACGAACGGCTTGGGGCGAGGCCAGAGAGAGGCTGGGGCATGAGAGACGTGAAACGTGAGGCCTCCCGGCCTCCACTGCTTTCCAGCCACCGTCTCAGGAGAGAGCGGTCGGCAGTCTGGTAAATGACCACCCCCGCCAGTCCTATGCGCCTGCTACCGTTCCTGTTACTGGACATGTGCTTAAGGATAAATATGCTGGGGGCGGCAGGTGGTGTGGTGGTGAGAGTGCTGGACTCCCATATGGCTGACCACGGTTCGAGTCCTGGACCTGGTGGCTTGCTTTCTCACTTTTCCACTCACTTTCTCTCTCTGGTCAAATTAAAAAATAATTTAAAAAGAATAAAGTATCCCTTTGGAGAGCTGTGAATGGGTTATCTCCTGAGCTGTGATGTCTTTTAAAAAATGGGAATGGAGGGACCAGCATAATGGATGACATAATGGTTGTGCCGCTGGACTCACATGTAGTCAACCACGGTTCGAGTCCCAGATCCAGCGGCTTAAAAAACTGGGCACATGTGTGTGCATGCCCAAAAATTCTAAGAGGAGAATGGAGAAGAAGGGATTGTGGCATGGCCATCCCCCTTGGGGGGGGGGTGATTTCTCACTTTATGTCTCCCTCTCTCTGTCTTTCTGACAAGCGCACGTGCCCTATAGCAAGAATCTCTTTCCAAAAGAAAATAAGTGGAAAGTGAGGGGGAAGGTGGTGACTCAGGCTAGAGGCAGCAGGTGCCTGAGGGCATGAGTGTGAAGGTCTTGTCTTATCACAGGGCAACTTGTCTACACCAGCTGTTGTTGATAATATTAGTGAAACAGTCATTCCCATCTCTTTCCGCAGAGCTTATCAGACTGGGGACCTTTTTTTCTTACCCTGGACAAATCCTTTGCTTTCAGGGCTCTGCTGGCTGGGGGTGGCTTTTCTACGTGGACTTACCGGCAAGGCTACGACGTCAGCATTCCTGTCTATAGCCCGCTGTCAGCTACGGTGGACCTGCCCGAGAAAGGACCAGGGTAAGGTGCGTTGGGCACAGCCGCTGTGCCTGCCCGCCTCGGAGGTGCTGCGGTGGTGTGGTTGGTGGACATCGCAGCGGCTGGAGC